CTCTCGCATCAATGGTGAAGAAGATGATGAGTCTCATCTCTCTGGCTACCTCGAGTGGCTCGAACACAAGAAAGTTGATGATGTGGAAGAGATCAAAGATGTTGCAGCTGATGATGATATTGATCATTTGGCGGACATGTTCATTGCTAATTGTCATGAGAAGTTCTTGCTCGAGAAAGTCGAATCTTACAGAAGGTTTCAAGAAATGTTAGAGAGGGGTTTGTGAATTATCAGAGGTGAAGCATAGATTTTCATTTTTGTTTTATTACATTAATAATCATGTTTGTAAAATCTTAGCTAGTCGATGATTTGATAGTACTAAAACAAGGTGGTGAATTGTGTATCTTGAAAGTTTTGGGGGTAATGTGCGAGAAGGTTAAACTTTTGGGGTTATCAGTGAAAGATTTGATATTGTGAAAATAATAATTGTTGTTGTCCATCCAATTGGGCACATCTAGTTAAGTTGTGACTTCTGATTAGTGTTTGGTAAATTGCCTCCAACTTACCTAATCTTTTTTATTACGCCCAATCTTGAGAAAGTTTAAAGAAAATAAATGAGGATTCAATAAAGAATTGGGATATTGACATAATTTACATTAAACAAAAAATTGGGATTTCAATTGTCTTAAATACACAACATAATTTATAAAATGAGAAAATAATGATTGAATAACATTTACGAATAAGATTTTAAAATTTAAATAGCATACCATACATAGTATTTCATAGAATTAGTGGGTGCATGCTTTATTGTCATGCTTTTTTGTATAAACAATATGTATGATTTGGAGATTAATTTCATTTTCTTCCGAAAATGTAACGCAGATTCCGTAGACAAAATGATAAGATAAGCTAAATAACACCAATATTTGTACTATTAGTGGAATTTAGTACTTTATTCTCGTAAATCTAGGGTGTATAAGAAAAAAACATATATATACTGTCGTGATCATAAATAGCTAAAAATCCATTAAAAGATCGAACAAATCTCGAGGAAAATTATCTAAAGCACAATTTACTGTGGCCTTCTCAACTACCATAAATCAAATTTTCACCTAATTTTGGACTTTAGAGGACTATATTGCCTATTGCGGTATCCTCGTGTAATTACAATAGCCATTTCTCCAAATGATTATATTTAACTATAATATAAAATGAGTCGGAGAAATGCACAGTAAACATCAAATCATACGAAGGTTGGTTACTGTGCATTTGTGCAATAATACATCGTTTTTTAGTAATAATATCACGAATTTATGTAATAGTTTTCAAGTTTATCAACAATTTTCCTTAAAAGCATAGTATCACATAGTGGATGCAACATATACATAGCTTAAGTACTTAAGCGATATTTTAAGAAGAAACATGCCATATTGCAAATGCAAAGTAGTATTTCATTATATTTATTTAAAACATTACGGTACATGCGACTTCTTTTACTTTAAAAAGTTTATAGACGACCGATTATAATACTGAAAATGGCCAAAAATTCAAATATTAACTACCAGATTTTATGCGGTTCATTCATTTTTTTGTTGGTTTTTAATGAAAAAGCTAAGTATATAATAATTTGCTAAAAGATACATGATCTTTGATCTAGAGTCTAGACGAGAGTCAATTTTCCACATCCTAGATATTGTTTCGTTGACCTTCACAGTTTATGCTCGAGACCCAAAATTAATATATTGGAGAATGGTAATGTAATATACGGAAATTAAAAA